CCCCAAAACCCCAAAACCCCAAAACCCCATCAGATGAACAATCATTTGAAATCAAAATATTTTTAATGAAATTAAAATAAATTTAAAATTATCTCATCTTAGAAATTTATGCAAACTTTTAGGCGGTTTTTATTAGAAAATCACAATTCTAATTGATTGAAAGTAGCACTTTGAGGTTCTTCCTCTTCTTAGATGATTTCAACATTTGTTTAATTTTTGAAACTCTAAAATTTCTTGTAGTTATTAATTGCAGTTAATGATAGATTTTCTCCTGCCTTCTACTTATGATCCTTTATAGGGGGTAAAGTTATCTTTTTGTTGTCATTAGGAGATTTAATCACATAAAACTGATCTATTTCGCTATCATTCCTGCTTTTAATTGAATTTTCCTTTGAATCCTGAGTATTTTATAGCCTTAATGATATTTAATTAATATTGCTCTCTAGTTCTAGTGGGTCAATGAGAGTCACAGATTTCTTAGGTCTGCTAGCCCTTCTCTATTTTTCTTCTGTTGAGGAAGGTTTTTCACCAATATTTATTTGTGTCTTCTATTTCTTTATTGACGGCCTATTTACAATAGCTGAATCAAAATCTCTGTTGATAGGAATATAGTTCTTTGGCTGCAACTTTAATTCAGACCCATTATGTGTTTAAGTTTAATCCATGCTTGGTATTCTATCTTCAGTAATATCATCTTCATCTGTAAAGCACACGTCTTCATCAGTTTCATACTCTATCTCAATTCTTTCTCTGTTATTTAATTCTTCCTCAAAGTCCGTATAACTTTATTCTCTCTTCAGAACTACAAGTTGAAACCATTAGCCAAAGGCCATCTTAGCGTAGAAGTTTTATACAAAGGGATTGTAAAGTTTATTTTTCTACATTATTCCATATATTGCTTCCTTTTCAAAAGATTTTTAAAAGAACCCGAATGAATTAGATTACTTTATCATTATCTCCTTCTAAATTTTAATTTGAGTTCTCAATTCATTGATTTGCATTTCACAGTCAAGCTTCACATTTCCATAAACTCTTCTCATGCATCTATAAAGCATTTCGTTGAAGTATACATAGCCATCCTCAGTTCTGATTCCTAGCTTGACAAGATCTTTTTAAAGTTCCATCTAATCAATGGTAGAAGACATACCCAGAGGATCTCTTAGATTTCTCATGAACTGAATGATTTAAGCATCTCTAATAACCTAGCAATTATACCTTTCCATTGTGTACCTCTTCCAAGCTTCTTTAAATGTTAGGAGGTCTTTCTTAAACTTTGATATTACATTATCTTTTGGCAGATAATATTTGTCAAATTATTGTAAGATTATAAGCACAAAGAGATTAAGCATCACATAACTACATATCAGTACAAAGCTAATGAAATAAATAGGTGCGAAACTACTTACACAGTCAGTTTTGAATGCACAATTTTTAGGATTCATTGTATCGTACATTACATTATTCCAATCCTCTCCAGTAGATATTCTGAATAATGTAAGCATTGCAAGTCCAAAATTTTTGAAGTTTTTATATTCGCCATCAATTGAATTTCCCTTTTCAACTTAATTAAATAGAAAAACACCAAGTACTGAGAAGATGAAAAATATGATCATTAGCAGTGAGAAAACATTTAAAAGCGGCGGGAGAGAAAACATAATAGTAGATACTAGTGCTTATAGTCCTTAATACTTTCCTATAAGTCTAACAATTCTTGTGACTCTTAGAACTCTGAGTACACGAATGATCTGCGGAGTTAAGGATATTATTCTCCCAGAGTTGTTTTGTAGATTATCAATCATAATTTCAGAAATACTAGAAAGTACAATTATAAAATCAAATACATTTTGAGCATTCCTAAAGTAACTCAATCCGTAGCCAATGAGTTTTAGAGTGGCTTCTATAATAAATATGACAGTGAAAAGAATGTTTATATCATCTAGCACTTTTAGATATTCAGAACTTGCACCCTCATGGTAGCAGGCTAATTAAATCATATTTAGCAATATGGAAATCATGATAAAAATATCAAAAGCATTTGAGCTGACGAATGAATGAAATAGCTTCCTCCATTTCTATTTTGGAATGTTTGTGGTTTCATAGTCAGGCTAAGCATTTATTATAAGAATTTAAATATCCTTCCACATTGTGTACTGCTACTAGAGTTTTTCATCAATTTAAGATTTGACTTCATTAGGATCTTATTACTTCATTATTTGCTCTTAGACATGCATTTTTTTCTTTGCCAGCTTAAAATTCAAAAAGAGTACACCAATGAAGAAATTAAGGAAAAAATAAGTACCAATCAAAATAAACAGCACAAAGTAATAACTGTATGGCTAGAAATTATTCAATTTAGGACCTTAGCCAGGATTAGTGCAGTCAACAGCTTAATAAAGAACATCATTCCAGTTCTCTAATGAGCTGACAACAAATAAAGTTAGCATAGCTCTTATGACATCATCGAAATTACTGTCATATCTTATCCATTCTCCATTGTCCTTTATGCATTCTGCCTCTGTAATATTTTAGTACTTATTTTATGTGCAATAGTAAAATTTTCCACTGAAAAATGATACTCCTAGGATTGCAAACATTAGCCATGCAACTACTACAACTATGATTACGTTTATAATTGACCCAACTGATTCTAGAAGTGCTACTACTAATACTTTCATAGCAGAATTGTGAGTGATAAATCTTAAGGGTCTTATCGTTCTTAAAAGTCTAAGTATTTTGATTGAGGGAATAGTAATATTTACCAGTGCCAAGTCTAAAAGTGAAGTAAAAACAATAAAGAAATCAAGAATATTCCAACTCTCTCTTAGATAAGAACCTCTGTCTATTATGAATCCAAATGAAATGATTTTGATTACCGACTCTATCAAAAATGCGCCAGTAAAAAGGATATCAAGATTTTCAAGAAATCTTTAGTTCTTATAATCTTCCAAGTAATAGGTATCAACAGCTAGCTTTATACTGCTAGTTACTATGATTACAAGTATGAATTTCTCAAAATAGTTATGTTTTACAATTCTTGATAGTATCAGTCTAACTTTATTTGTTTTACTGAAAAGATAAAGTGAATTCTAGCAATCTATATCCTTGAAATTGTCTCTGATATTATTTTTTCTTAACCGTTTTTAGTTCTGTGAGATACCATTTTTAATAATCAGTTTCATTCTATCTTCGAAGTCTAGTTCCTCAAAATACTTGAGTTCTTCAGCCTCTTATTATTTTAATATTTGTATTTATGATGGAGCCAAGTTGATTGAAATCTATTACTATTGTTAATTATAATTTTATTTGCCTTTGATTTTGAGCATGGATATCAAATCATTAAGTGGTTTTTCTGATTTCCTTCTCAAAGTATTCATTGCGAAAAATTTACTTATATCTTTATGTTGTTTTTTTATCTTATTAGATTTTTTATTCTTTCTTTCGAATTATTTTAATTTTTCCTCCTCTTACTTACATATCTCATCTTCTTCCTCTTCTTCAACAAGAAAACTGTCAAGTAATATGGCCAGAAACAAGTTTAGCAAGATAAAGTTTCCAATAAATATCCAACTAACAAAGTAGATAATTATGACAACTTGATTGAGATCTGAATAGTAAAGAGTATCATAAAGAATATAACTCCAATTTTCCATGGTCAAAAGCTAAAATACTGTCATAAAAGCGTTATGAAAGTCCTAAAAATTAGCTCTACTTAATGGGCCTTCATTTCCATTACTTAACCCAATACCAACATCATATTTCACCATATCGCCAAACAATGTCATACCAAGTAGAGAATATATATATAAAAAGAGGAACAAAAGCAAAGCAATATAAATAAATGATTTGATAGATCTTTGAATAACTCCTATAATAATTTACATAGATCTAAGTTATCTCAGAAGTCTAGCAACTCTAAGCACTCTAAATGTTCTAAATATTCTAACTACTTTAAAAGCAGACAAAGAACCTTAACTCACTCGCCCACTTGTATTTGGCTTTCCTTATATTGTTAATTGATTCTAGTTAAGTGTAATCTCTACAATACTAATCAAAACTACAGCTGAATCAAGATAATTCATCAAATCTTTAAAATATTTCGTAACTCCAAGACCAGAAATTTTAAGTAATAGCTCAATACAGAATATAAAAGTAAAGCTCAAATTAAAAATGGTGCAGATCAAATCAAGTTCAGGGTCAATATCATATCTATCAAAAGCCAATATGACAGTATTTATTAGAACACATAAAAGCATGAAATTTTCAAAAATAGGAGACTTTACCATAGTCTTAATAGAATTTTTGAATTATTTAAGGAATCCCCAAGCTTATGGCCATACTCTAATTCCATTTAATTTGGAAGTTATATATAGTGCTTTATAATCGTTCATTGAGTTCATTAAAACGTCCTAGCCACTCCATCTAGAAATAATCTTTTTCTTTTACAAATCAATTCTTCTCATTACCAAATAGTCAAAGTAGTTTGAATGAGTTTAAGATTAAAGAGTATTAATGAGATCTGCAAATTTTCTAGATTTCTAACCATCTCTTATGATCCTTTATCTTTGATATTTAAGTTCCTCATAATCACTATAAAGAGAAGTTGGCACATCTGATAAATCATCTTGAATGTCATCTTTGCCTTTTGATTTTTTAATTCTTCCAATTTTACTTGTCTAGATTACCTTCTTGATAGAGCATTCTAAGAGTTCTTAATCATTATTTAGGGCATTAAGTTTATCTAAATTATCTTTGTTTAGTGCAATTTTACCTTAAGTTATTTGATACTATAAATTTTATCTCTCAAATTCATTTTCCTATTTGTCTTCGTCTGACGAATAGAAATTTCCTTGAAAAAAATCATGAACATTTTCTAGGTTAATTTTATCTAATTTTTCTTTCTTTCTTTCATAATCTTTCAATGTATTTTGCTTCCGTCTTATAGACTTTACTCTTGGTAAAAGTTGCGCGATATGCTAGTCTTTTGAATTACTTATAGATGATCTTCTTTGCTTTGTTTGAACATTTATTTCAATAGCTTTATTTAAAAGTTCTTTAATCTTTGTTGGAGAATCTCCTTTAGTTTAATTAGACTTCTATTATTTTATCAGAATTAATTCATTAGACTGTATTTTCCTTATTCTGTTTTAACTTCCGAAATTTTTGGGAACTTCAAGAAAATTTACGTGCATAGTTGAAGATTTTTAGATAGAACCATGTCTAGCATGTCTTGCATTATTTATTTGGAGTGAATTGTAATTGATATCAAACTATTACTGAGTTTTAAATATATTATCTTGAACTTTTGGCATATAGGATTTATGAATAGTTAATCGAGGACTACTTAAATGCCTCTAAAAATTTTCATCACCTAATTCTTAAATTTTACTAGAATTATTTTCCACAAATTTATAATTATCAGCTTAAATTACATTTTTAGTTGATTTTACTCTCTCTTTATTAGAAAATGTGAGCCTTTGTTTGGTATTATCAAGCTAATCATCTTCATATTTTTCATTATCAAAGCTGTCTTACTAAGATTTCTCTTTTTCTAATTTACCATGTTTTTAGTCTTCTTTTTCTTAGTTATTTTCACTCTGTATATCAATTTAATCGTCTTCAAATTTTTCTTCTCCTCCTGATATAGAGGATCCAGATTAGAATGAAGATGCAGATTAAACTAGTTCCAAATTATCTTGAATACTTAATAATTTTTGGCCTAGACCAGGCACTAGATTCTATTCTTGTTGTTCCGATAACCTTGCCTAGTTGATATTGACTTAGTCTTTTAGATAAACATTTTTTCTTGATGGAATCAAAGTAAAACTAAGTGTACTTGTAATATAAAGATCAGAGATTTTTGTAGCTCTTTGTATCAAATTCATATTGTATGTTCCATTCTTTCCATATTAAGAGAGCATTTGATATGGTTATTCTTCCAAATGCCTGAATTCTTCTCTTTCCACAAGTCTAGTCATAATTTCATTATGAAGCTTATCCTCATTTATTTGATACATAACTCTCATTTAATATGGTTTGCACTTAGGCCTAGCTATGCCAGGCCTGTATCTGTTACTGTCAGGAAAATCGTCATCTTCATTCTCTTCTCTTTTATTGATGTCAATTTTAGGAATCTTTGAAAAGTGTTAGATCCTCTTCTCATAAACATTTATCTATGAAGAACTAAAATATTCTGGCTTCTTATCGTTTATTATGATTTTCTATTTTTGGTTAATAAGTTAAGAAAGATGAAACTTTGGCTATGATGCAGTTTTATCACCAACCAGCATCGCTAAATCAAACTTTTATTATTGTTTGAATCTAGATCTGCTTTTTTTCTTTGAATTATCTAAAAATAATTCCTATGAGTCCTCTGAAGTAATTTATCCGATCTTATTGCTACTCACTAATTTTCTAATAATGATGCCTGTGTTTTTCCTTTTAAGTGGAGGCAATGTTTACTTAGATGGTATATTGCTTAAAGATAAACTGATTTTTTTATCCTATTTTCTTATACTTCTAATATCATCTTCTATAAACCTTCTCTTATTATTTATTTAGTGAATGCTTTGCATCTATTCGAAATTAGTTGTTTGCTAATTAATATCCTAAGTAGTTTCTTAAAGTTAAGGAGTATCTACATTATCTTCCGATTTTTTCTCTTCATCCTTATTAGGAAAGAATTCAAGGTATAATTCTTCCCTATCAAAAATTTCTTGTTATTCAATTTAATTTTGTGAATTTTAATCAGTATTTAACAATGGGGACTAGATATGAAATATTTCATTGCTATCTAATGACCTTTTTTGTTATAGTCTAGGTAATTTAAGTGTATTAATTTGATGATCTCTAAAATTACCTCGAGCTTCAATTATATCTTAGCTTTATCTAATTGTACTGTCAAAGTTAGGTTAATTAATGTTTGGACTTTAAGAATTACTTTCTGCATCAATAGGTGACTATACCTTTATTTTTGGAATTTGTGAAAATTACGTATGTTACTTTGAAAGAATTAAGTTCTCAAATACTCTAGTAGATCTTCTATCTTCTTGAAAAGTTTACTTTTATCTAATCTGGAAAATTCGTTCCTCAATATCTATAGGAGGATAGTTTTCATCAATACTGACCAAACCACTAGTTACTGTCCCAGAACTTAAATTTTGAAATTTTTATGGACTAGTTACTTTAGTTTTTCTCATCTGCTGGATTTCAATATTTGATTCAAATGAGACCTATGAAAGGAATTCTTATTTGCTATCTTCAGATCTTCTGAAATTTTCCTTAATCTCTTCAGACTGTTCCTCATTATTTTCTTACTTATCAATCATTGAGAACTGAGAACTTTCTTCGAATATAATTTTACTGAAATCTTTTTTATTTGGAAGAGGTTCATCAATTAAGCCAGTATAAAAATTAATCTTAAATTCTTCATTTTATTCAAAGGCTTATTGCTAATAACTTGGTATTCTTTATAATATATTCGTATTTGTAATTTATGCTCTTGAATCTTTTATCTTGGCATGAGAACTTTAATTTTAAAATAAATCCTTACTTGACTATTTATCCCAAATAACTGATGGATTATACTTTATACTTAATATATCCTTATTTGATTTTATCTTTTAAAGTCGATCATCAGGTTGATTGTAAAATTAGATTTATTTACTACTCTTTGATTAGCTTACATTTTTCCTCTGTTTCCTCTTAAGTAGGTTTTAAGTAATTGGTCATTAAATTTCATTACCTTCAAAGGTATTAAATTTGAAAAGTCCTTAGTCTTGAACTTTGTCTTCTTAAGAATTTCTTATTACATTTGATCTATCTGATATTGATCTAGGAGATATCTTATCTTCTAAAAAGATTTTGTTTTTTGCGATAATTTTTGGTTGTTAATTATTTTCTATAATTTATTTTTAGATTGATTAATTCTCTAATTTAATTTACTGTATTATTGATTTCATAGTGTTATCCAAATTTCTATGAGTATCTTGCTAAAATTCATTTGAATCTTAAATTAGGGAATCTAACTACTATATTTCACTTTCTTTAATAAAACTATCTTGCTAGAGACTAAAATTATTTACGAAATTGTTTTTAAAGAACTTAGACAATCTTCTCTGTTGTTATTAATTTGGACTAAATTAAGAGTTCTGGTTGACATGGCTTATTGTATTTTCATTTAAAACAGAAAATGATACCTAGGACTCTTGCTTATTTGAATCTTGATCTTTCCCTTTTTTGTCATGGTTACTTATTAATGGATTAATGCTGGTATTTTACTCAATTTTATATCGATTTTTACGATTTTTTTTGCACTTTAAGCAGCATATTTTTGTTGTAATGATGTATATTAACTTCTTTTTTCTCTCTTACTTCTTTTTAAACTAAGCATTTCTTAAGAACTATATCATGAATCTAGCTGCTTTCTTTGCTACAATAAATTATCTTACTGACAGTCCAATTTCAAATCTATTTATTCGAGTTTCTCCTAATTCATCGATAAATTCAGTATCATCTAATAAGTTATTTTCATTCTAGAGTCTCAAATTTTAGATATTTAAATTGTCCATGAAAGTGTTTCTCATTTTTCTAATAGTTTCAAGTTTTTTTTTCTCAATAAAAAATTTGTGGGCTTCTGTGAACTTAAAGTTGATAACTGCTAGAGTCAAATTCAGTAAAAAATAGGCACCAATAAAAACTAAAGGGATAAATACAAGGAACAGTAAATAGTGAGTTGATTTCATAACATATAACATTACAACACTCCAACTTTCAAGAGTTGTACACTGGAAAATTGTTAATAATGAGAATAAAATGTTATCGAAATTAGTAACTCCTAAATTAGGATTTTGCAGTCTCTAGCCACAAATATATCCTGGAGGACAAATAGTTGTTCTGCCACAAATAAGATCATTATGGTGAGAAAGTCCAGTTTCAAGATCAAAGCATCTATTTTCTAAGTCGCCTGATAAAACTTAGAGTGCTCCAATACCAAATACTAAGAAGAAAAATATTAAAATGATAATTGTATCTCTGAGTAATGGTAGAGCTGCTATTAAGGCAGAAACAAGTAACTTCAATCCCTCTATGCTAGTAATTGTTCTTAACGGTCTAAGAACTCTGAATGCTCTTAATACTTGCAATTTAAGTCCTGTTTCTATCAGTACTTACAATGTTAATTATATAACTACCAAAAAATCGATAATATTCCAATAATCTCTTAAATAAGCCCCCTTATTGAAAACAAAGCCCATGCCGAATATTTTCAGGAAAAATTCGAAGAAGTAGAGAGCTGAAAAAAAGTTATCTAAGTTATCCCTGTAAGTTGAATTAGTTATCTAAGTGGGATCATCTAATGCAAGTACAATAGAGTTGCAAATAATAACAACGAGGTAGAAATACTCAAAAATCTGCGATGAAATTATTCTTCCACTTAGGGTCACGATAAACCTATAGATTATGAGTAGATAGATATTTACAGCTTTATTTTAAGGATAACCTTTCTGAATTTCAAACAAGGGTATCTATCTCTCTTTTCATTAATTAGTTCAATGACAGTTTTGTCTCTTATTTTCAGAATCTCGTCATTATGCTTATTCATGTGAATAATTAATTCATCTATGCTCCAAATATACAATTATATGTCATTTTTAACTTACGATCCTTTTATGCCATAAACAAGTCTCGTCATTTCCATATGGTAAACTCCCTCCTTCTAATATGTTCTTCATCTTCAAAGCTACATAAATTAGTCAATTTGCTTTTTACTAAAATTTTTTGCTTATATCAAGTGAATCCTCCATTGACTTTTGAATTAGATTTATTAATTATCAGATATATTTAGAAACCTTTCTAATGTCTGTTCTTTAATCTAGCTTAATGGGGTTTTGGGGTTTTGGGG